GGGGGAGACCTTGATCTGGAGGAGGTGGGAATGGGGGGTGGGCTGGGGGGAGGGGTGGGCGAGAGGGGGAGAACAGGGGATTCTGTGGCTATTATGTTGAACTGAATGGTGTTGTAAAATAATAAAAAAAAAAAAAAAAAAAATAAAAAAAAAAAAAAAAAAAAAAAATGAGAGTAGAAAAACATCAAGAATGAGAAAATAAATCACCAGGAAAATAAAGAATAGAGAATATAAAAGAAGAATAAAGAAAAGGTCTGAAGGAAACCATCAAAAAAAAAAAAGTGTTTTCCCTGCGATCTCACTTGCCCTGCAGGGGTCTACACCTCCAGCTCCCCCCTTTGCGCGTGCGCGCACACACACACACACACACACACACACACACACACACACACACACACACACACCTCCAGCACAGGCACCGTCTGAGCAGAGCCACAAAACAAGCCAGCTGGAAAATGTGGCAAGTTCAAGTTATCCTCCCCAGTGGCTGCGCTGCCCAGAAGTGAACAAAAGAGTCTACGGAATTCTAGAAGGAAACTTCTCTCTCTGCAGGCCATTTAAGTTTTTCAATACTAGAATGCACACACCACGGGATAGAACACACGGCCCGGACACTTTCAGAACCAGGAGGAAACTATGTTAGACTGGTCATCTTACCCTGCCGCCTGATTCCTCCAGACCACGAGGGCTCGGCCGGGACAAGAACTCACGTAGACAACCTGAGTCGGGGGAAATGACTTTAAGGTCTCCCTTTGTGTGGAAACACAGAGAGGTCATCCTTACAGCTGCTTCTAGATGTCATTCTGGCTACACAGCCTTTTGCCTAGCAAACCAAGAGAGGAGTGGCCTTGGAGTAAGAGCCTGGATCTTTCTCTTAGGAGCCACACCATTAAACTAGGAGGATTGAGCCCAGCTGCTGGCTATAAGCCAAGCACAGGGCAGCCAGCCACCTTTGGAACTGCCTAGTCATGAAATGTGTAACAAAACACCTACAAAAGACCCCCTCCCGGCCGGACGGTGGTGGCGCGCGCCTTTAATCCCAGCACTCAGGAGGCAGAGGCAGGCAGATCTCTCTGAGTTGGAGGCCAGCCTAGTCTACAGAGTGAGTTCCAGGAAAAGGCGCAAAGTTACACAGAGGAACCCCGTCTCAGGAAAAAAAAAAACAAAAAAAAACCAACTTTCCCATGGGCCTGTTTTGGGTTTTAAGGCAGAGCTTCTCATCCTATAGTTCAGGCTCACCTGGAACTCATAACAATCCTCCTGCCTCAGCTCCACGTGCTGGGATGACAGGATTATGGTGTGCACCACCATGCCTGCTGTCTCGATGGCTTGAGTGTCTGGACATCAGGGTTGTTTGTAACTAAGGAGACCCCTGCGCATCTGGTGCCATCACAGCCAGTTCAGAAAACCAGAACGGATCTTTGTAATTACCGTGGGAGAGCAACCTGGGAAGTCGGCGATGTTGGAGACGCGCACGTCCACCCACATCTTGCTCTAGGGAACTCCCTAGTGAGTGCCGTCCTACAGAAACCACAGGCAGAGGTTTCCCACAACCCCGCTTCAATCGTGGGACAGCAAAACAAATAAACTAGCAAAACCAGAAACCCGACAACACAGGAATGTCTGACTGGACACTGGCGTGGACACAGTATTGTCAAACCGAGGTTTGATACCGCACCAGGCCCTTCCTACACTTCCTCTACCTGGGACCCCTGTGAGCTCTAGAAATGTTTACATGACCCTGGGTATTCAGGTAAATAAAATAGGTATGTACGGGCTAGAGAGAGGGCTCATCATTTAAGAGCACTGGCTGTTCTTCCAGAGGACCCAAGTTTGGTTCCCAGAACCAGCACTGAGTGGCTCACAACTGTCTATAACTTCGGCTCCAGGACCCTCTGACACACAGACACATGCACAACTTACAATTTAAAATGTCGTTTTAAATTTATCTTTAATCCATCCTTGGAATAATCTTATTTTTCATCGTAAATGAAAATATGCTGGTTGTTAACTGTAGGAGAAACTAAATGAGAAATAATACCATCCTTGTACGTTTCCTGTTAAGCTGTCACTATTCCAAAAGGAAAGGGTCACTTAAAAAACAATGCTTATCAACATGAAATTAAGAAATTACCTAAATCCCAACACTTCAAGTATATTTGCTTTTTCTGTTGTTGTTGTTTAGTTTGATTGGTTTTTTGGTTTTTGGTTGTTTGTTTTGGTCTTTCAAGACAGGGTTTCTTTGTGTAGCCCTGGCTGTCCCAGAACTCACTCTGTAGACCAGGCTGGCCTCGAATTCACCGAGATCCGCCTGCCTCTGCCTCCTGAGTGCTGGGATTAAAGGCATGTGCCACTACCGCCAGGCAGGTACATTTGGTTTTTCATGTTCACCTCTGACCTCTGACCCAGTTTACACTGGCATCACTGTCAGCTGTTCTGGATGCTAATTGGATGGTTAAAACATTTCCAAGGACCACATCATCTAGATAATCAAATCTTCATGGATGCCTAATAATCCATCATGTTGGTGCGCCATCATTCAGTAGATACAGACTCCACAGACCAGCGACAACCCTGGTTTCTGCTCTCAGGAAGACACTGCAGTTCAATGGGGGAGCCCTGAGAAAGCTCTGTGAATCACTTGCAGGGATGTGTGCTAGACAGTGCCATGTAACCTCCCCAAAGTTTGATCCACCACCTGCAAAGCACGGGCATTTAAACAGACGGACTCTCTCCTACCACAATCAGGACTGGATCCTCCTCCTTCAGTCTGCTCGGTGTACAACAGTCCCTCGAGATGGCTTCCCTGTGTCCTGCCTCCTTTTTGTTCTTTTAAAAGATGTGGCTAGCGGGCACAGGACAGGTAACAACTCAGTAGCTGTAGTCCTCGGTTACAGAGAGAGAGAGGGGCAGAAACCCTGGGAGACAGGGACGCCCTTAGGTGCACCCTGTCTCTCGGAAGCAGACCCTCAGCTGACGACCGGAACAGAGCATCCCAGAAGACTCTCTGCCATAGGACTCCATGTCCCGTGGTCCCCCAGCACCTGAACTTGTCAAACACGGTCATTCAAAACCTCTGCCCAGAGGACTATGTGGGTGAGGAGTCGGCTATGATCCACTTTTGAGGTCCGGTGGTAGAGAGAGCATGTGGAAGGGACAGAAGAGCAATTCTATCCAGCGGGGGACTGAGCTTCCCAACAGTGTTCCCACTGCCCTTCTGGGCTGGCTCATCTTCAAGCCTCTCACCAGTATGTGGATTTTTTTTTTTCATTCAAAGCTGCGCGTGGTGGCGCACACCTTTAATCTAGTGCTCAGGAGGCAGAGGCAGGTAAATCTCTGCCAGTTCAAAGCCAACTTGGTCTACAAAGAGACAGCGCAGGACAGCAGGGCTACATAGAGAGACCCTGTCTCAGGCAACGGCAATAAGAAACATTCACTCAGAGGGGATTTTTACCAAGTGCCACAGACACTTCCGTCAGGGGCTTCAGGGAGCTGTTGACAAAGGCTCTGCTTGTGAATCAGAGCCCCCGACCCCCTAGAGAGGTCAGGGGTCCACACATGCACTGCGGAGGAAAGAGGGGACCACACGTGGGCAGACGCACGAGAGAACGTTCTTTGTAAGCGGTGGAGCCTGCAGTTAACGCACAGGACTTCTCAGACTTTTTAAAGCCTAAGTAGGAAGCATGCCGTGTAGGTTTTGGGGGTAATTATAACGGTCAAACGAAGGACATGTTCCACAGACGTGGCACAGCACCGCCCTACACGGCATAGTTGACCTTAAGGGATCCGCGTAGGAGTCGCAACAATGGAGGAGATATGGCCGGAGGGCAGTGCCCGCATCTGAAGTTTGAGAATTTTTTTTTCAGTTTTTTTCAGTTTGCAACCTGACAGTAGGGAATTACGGTTGTAAAGAATCATAAAGAACTTTAAAAAAAAATTTTGTTTTTTATTATTTGTGTGTGGGGGATGGGACACGGTGTACATGGTAGCTAGAAGAGAGTGTTGAATCCCACAGAACAGGAGTTAGCTGGGAACAGAACCCAGGTCCCCTGCAAGAGCAGCAAGCACTCTTAACCACGGAGCCGTCTTTCCAGCCCCGAGAGAGGTTTTAAAGATGGGGGAAGACTTGTATGTTAAGTGAGGAGACAGCACACCTCAAGAGAGAGAAGCTAAAACATTCGGATAAAAGGACAGGAAGAAACGACGCCTGTATGTCGCAGTGGCCCTTCTGCCAGTCACCCCTCCTACGCCCGCGCCGAGCTCTGCAAAGTCTGCAGAGAACAAGTCTTCGCGGTTAACCAGTTTAAAGGGGGCGAGGTAGCTCTCTTTACTCACCCACGCTTTATATAATGCCCATGTGGTGGTCTGAATGAGAACGGCCCCCCAGAGGCTCATATATTTGAACGCTTGGTCTGCAGTTGGTGGAACTGTTTGGGAAGGATTAGGAGGTGTGGCCTTGTTGGAGGAGAGGTGTCACTGGGGGTGGGGCTCCGAGGTTTCAAAAGCCCATTAGCTCTCCGCCTTGTGGTGGTAGATCAAGATGTGAGCTCTCAGCTACCGCTCCAGCACCCTGCCTGCCTGCCTGCCTGCCTGCCTGCCGCCATGCTCCCTACTGTGACGGTCATGGACTCTAACCCTCTGAAACTGCAGGCCCCAAACAAACTCTTTAATACGTTGCCTTGGTCGTGGTGTATAATCGCAGCAATAAAAGAGTACCACAGGCCACATAAGTGGACGTCAAACATAGTGCCACAAACTACGTGTAAGTGGGCGCCAATCCACATAGTAA